GTTGTATTTTGTATGTGGTCATTTATTGCTTGTGTCGGAAAGCCGACAATTCTATGAGAGCATTTGCAGAAAGTGATTTATCTGTTCAAAAGTTTGTTCAGTCAGCAGTAACAGTAAGAGTTATAATAAAGGTGTCATTTTTACGCAGGATTGATTTTCCATCTTTTTCACTTTAAATCTGTCTTGTTATTGTTTTTTTCTTTTTGTACGTCGCATTTGGTGTAATTTGATTCATAAACGTCGTTTCATTAAGGTGCTGAGCAAAAAAATAGAAGCATTTTTGTTGCCACTGTCGGCAAAGGTGCGACTGAAGAACTTGGGTGTCCTTCAATAAACAGAAGTTTGGCGAAAGTGGAAATTGATTTTTTTTTTTTTTATCTTTTGCTTGTTTTTCATTCAAACAACACATCTAAGGTTTTGTCATCCTTGATGGTGACCGAGGTTTACTGGATGTTGGGAGGTGCATTTATTTTATTTTTTCATAAATATTTTGGACGTTTTGATAGTTGTAAATAGTGATAGTTGATGACGGCACTTACAATGACCAAGGGGAGGCCAATGAAGGAAGGAAGTGATAGCGATATTCTAATGGAGGTTTTCTGGTGGTCATTTTTTTCGCTTTAGGTTGGCGGATTTTTGATTTTGGTTTTAACAGCAATATGTGATGATGATAGCATTGTCTTTCTTTTCAACATATGGGAGGGTTTACTTTTGGGTGCTATGGCAACGAAAGTTTGGCAAAGGAAATTCGGTTTTATCTGATGATGATGAGTTAGTTTGCTGCTCAGCGCATAGTCGCCGTTTGTCTGATTGTCAAGGCGGATCAGCAAGTATTTATTTCAGTTCTCTGTTAGTTTATTCAGTTTTTTTGATGCTGGATATTGAGACTTCTGGCAGAACACATTGAGACAAGATAGCAACCATTAGCGATCAGCTGACCCATGTCATATCAGCCGTCTTGTTGTGCATTTGTGCGTTATGCAGGTTGTGGTTTTGTGCGCCTGTCTGTGACATTGTTGGAAAAGAACAGAAATTAAAGGTCCTAATATATTTTGATTGCTTTATCGATCAGGAACTATTTAATGGTTAATGACGTATTGATCTGTGTTACTGTTACAAATCAAAAAAAAAGAAAGGAAGGTAAAGATTTTGTTGGAAATTGGTACTCTTTAGTGTATCGTATTGATCTTTGGTGCACGATATCTGTTTTGAACCTTATGTTTTTGTCACACAATTTTAGACTTTTTTTAGCTTTTGAAAGAGAAACTGTTTTGATTATATAACTTTTTTGGTTGATTGTTATTTTCATTCTTAAAATGTGTATATTCAGGTGTGTTTTTTAAGTACGGCTTTTTTTCTTTTGAGTATTATCTGTGGAATTTTTCTCCCACTTTTTCTTATTATGAATTGCAACTTGTTTGAAAAGTGTTCTAGGGACTTTCCCTTACTGTACGAATGGTTCCGATTTACTGATGTGAAGTTCCGGTTATTACTTCATTTAGGTTGACTGCAGCCCACTTTTGTGGATGAATTTGCAACCAATATTACGGAAAGATTACGCAAAGGAAAAAATTGTTTTTACAAGAAAGATGTTTCGTTTTAAAAAGCAACTTTTTTTTAAGGTAGAAAACTCACTAAAATGTAGGTCTGCTTTGAATTACATAAACATTTTGAATGAAATCATAACAGGTGGGAGTGTGCGTACAGGAGTTCAAGTGCAACAGTTATTCTCTAGTAGCCTGCTGTTAGAAACTGATTGTATTTTGGATTCAATAGTTTTAAGAAGTCACCTTGAGTAGGTGCTAGAGATGAAATTATTAGAGAGTGTGGAAGACGTAATTGTGGATTCCGTTGCTATTTTAATGCTGAAGGGTTACGGAATTTAATGCACCCGTCTTTTATCTTCATAACCTGTATGGATGCTCACGCGACTTTTCAAGAGATGGTTTTTTCGATCATTAGTCGGTCTTTATTCTTCAAAAAATTATGCCTAGTGCTCCAAATTATGCTATAGATCGTTTGATAGAAAATTTGTCCAGGCAGTCTCCCGTATTGGAAAGAAGTTCTGACAACATCTCGGAAGTAGTTGCCGCAGTATTTTAGTTTCATTTCAACTTACGAGTCAAAAAATGTGAGAGTTTGGCGAATTACAAACTCCATTGGGCATCTGGGGAAGTTCTCCTCTGTTTCAGGTTTTTTTTTAAAGAAGCCAAGAATAGTTTGGTTTTTCCCTTCGTATTTTTTCCCTGTAATAATTCAAACTTGGTATATTTATTTCGAATTGCTGATAGGTAAAGCCTCTTGTTACTGAAACGTGATGTACCGGTAATTACCGACGGATAAGTTTTAGAAGATAATTAATTATTTTTATATAAACTTTGTTGCGTGGAAATAGGGCCGCAGTTTTGAAAAAAATTCTTCCTTACGTTTCTAAGGATTGAGCTAGAAGGGAATAAAACGTTTAAGGAATCTTTTTTTTTTTTTTTTTTGAATTTTTTGTTGGTGCATAGACTGGTTTTTTCTCGTTTTTCGGACTTGTTACGGCTTAAGATATCCATTTTTGTCTAAACGTTTTTCTTTTGTATTTGTTCTTTCAGTACCGCTCTCTATTGCTTCCGGTCACTTTTCTTTAGACTAAGTAAAAATTGATAGATATCGATCTTATTCTTATGCAACATTTTCTTGGTGATGTTTGATACTGAGAAAAATCCGACGATGTAAATTGCTGTACAGAATTGCGTTTTTTAAAAGAAAATTTTTATTGGTTACAGATGATGGAAGAGCAGCTAGCTACTTTTCTAAGTTCAGTATCACATCTTTAAAAAAGACATTTGATGCCTACAGTTTCTCGTAACACCGAAAAGGTGCAATAGGTTTCTTTGCCTGTTTGACTGTTTCACTAAGGAATTGTTAAATTTAGCCGGGAATGTCGAAGAACAACGTTTTTTTTTTTTTAGAAATTTTTGTTTTTAGAAACGAAACGCGGATTCGTTCGTTTATGTTTGCAGCTTCAAACGCCATACTTGTTTCTTTTTTGCTTTTATCTCATCTGTTTTAGGAAAGAGGGTTGTAAGTTTGGTTACAACTAATAAACCTCATGTTTTATATAGCAGTTATTTACACTGCCAAATGACATCTCGTCCAAATATCAAAACAGTGAAGAAAACGCTAAGTGCCGGACATGGACCACTGCCGGAATATCGTGATGGCACAAAAGCGATCTTTCACTACGAAGCTCTTAAACCGCTTGTGGACGTTACTGTGGAAGGTTTTCCTGATTCAAGGTTTGCTTTTTCACGATGAGTTAGCAGACATCATGTAATTTCTGCGTTGTGGTTTATGAAAAACTTGACTTGATGAAGTTATGTACAAGCTTTTCTATTTTTATATTTATGATGTGCTTTTCGAGACAGTTTTGGTAAAAAATTGCGTTTTTTATCTTTAATTTTGTTGAAGTCTTACAGAGATTTATACAAATTAGTTGACAGCACTCGAAAGCCATATCCGGACGGTTACGGAAAACCACTGGAATTGGTTTTTGGCAAGAAGTTTCAGTTACCGGTCTTTGAAACCTGCTTAAGATCTATGCATATTGATGAGGTTGGTAACTTTGTTTTTGAAGAGTGAAGGGGATGTAATCTTAAAAGCATAAATTTTTTGCAGATTCGTTTAATGCGGCAAATCATAACTGTTGTTCTTTATTATCTACGTACGAACGGATAATGATTGCATGTTTGATGCTGCATTATTTGTTCTAATAACTTATCACTCACTTTTTTAATTATATTTTCTAAAACCATTTTTCAGTGAGAGAACTAGGGCTAATAATGATGAACACCGTAGAAGCGTTCAAACAGTTGTTATTTAGTATTTAGATCAGCCAGTTTGATATTGAAGCATCTGAATTGTATCCATTTCCACACGTATCTAGCAAGTTAAGAGACATAGCGAAGAGCGAAATGAATGAAAGTAAAGGTCAGGAAGATGTTCATCACCACAGATGTGCCTTAGGAGGACTCGAGTAAACATTTCGGATTTTTTTTTTTTACAAAAATTAGCTTTCTTCTTAAAAATGTAATAGAACGAGGGTTCCAAAAAAGAATTGATGCTTTTTTTTTT